AGAGATATAGAGAGCAAACTGTAAAACACCTGTGCAAATAGGTACAAGCTGCAGTATAATGCAGCAGAGATTGAACAAAGACCTGTTGAAACGGTCTACCAATGAGCACAAGAAGCACACTCTCATTTAGAGTTTCATCAGCAAGGAGATCAGAAGAATGCAACAGCACATAGCCCGAAATGGGAAGGATAACTTAGAACTACCTTCAGCCTTTGGTGCAACTAAGACAAGTGGGGGGACAACTGTGGTGTCGTAGCATGATCCGTGGCACCGCAGGCTGGGCACTCTGCCGCAGACCTGCAGTATTTAGTTGGATGTCCGAAGTCCCAACAATTTCGACACCGTTGGAGCATGAAGACAACCTTATGGACCCTTAAGTGATGTCCTGTGAAATGAATGGAGGACAGGAGCTCACAGCAGTCAAAGATTAAGCGGGCGATGTTACTGGGAAAGTGCCTCGCATGCAGGAGGGTAGGACATACTATCCACTTTGGGAATCAGAAGGTCCCGGAGGGCTAATTGCTCTAAAATATACTTACCACAAGACAGAAAAATCACACTGTACAATGGTATGCTGTAAGACCACCGTACCACTGTAAGAATTGAAAGTAGCGTGCTTGTGAACTGTGATAGGAACGATATCAATAGAAGTAAGAAGGGAAAGATCATGAGCTTGGCCTGCGTTCTGAACTATAACAATGCGTGCACAACTCTGAAGAGCGTGAAAGGATATATTTTAGCCAACATGTCGTAAGGGAGCTTTACCGATACTATGGTCTGAAAGATAATCAGTAGGAGACGTCAGTTGCAAGGAAAAAAAATTAGTCCACTGTGCACTTGTAAACGTGGTATGCAAAAGAAGTGGGTGTCGTGTAGGTCGTTTCTGGGTGGAATGAACAGAAATCGAAAGAATGTCATCAGCAAATGGTCTGGAACGTTTAGGTGTAGGACCGTAGGCGGCCCGACCTGAGGCACGTGAGTAATCTGAAAATCGCTGCACAATATTTGGAGAAGCAGGATGCATAGTCAAAGACATGCAAAGGTCAGAGACACTAGAAGAGATGGGTGGAGCCTCGGCACCTGGTGCAGGCGATGAAGCATCACCAGCAGAAGGTACAGAGGTATAGGAAAAGTCCAACGAATGGTCCAATAATGAAGCCGGGTAAGAACAGGATGCAGTAGCATAAAGGGTCCTGGAAGGAGTAGGGAAGTCATGGAACGAAGTTTCTATGATGGTGGTGGTACTTCTTTCTTATTATTTTAAGAAAAAAAGAAAGAAAAAAGGAAAAAAAAAGAAAAAAAAAAAAGAGGGAAAGTGGTGGGACAGTTACGAGAAGGCATGAAAGGGCCATAAGTTCCCATTCATATCCAAGAGGACCTCGACACCGCCAGCAGCGCAGATGCAGCATGGAACCCGTGCCATAACCTACCCTTCACGCCAGTAATCCAGCGCTTGGGGATAGCAACCTCACATCCACCGAGCCACTTCGGTGGACAAAAGAGAGGGCACTCGCATACCTGCCACAAAGCATATTTCCCTCAGCTGCCACCTCCCAGAACCGACAGGCAGCCTCTGGAGATGCACCCGTCATCTGCAGGACACCCCATCCCACCCCCTGGAAATCCGGAAAGGGAGTAGGGCGCCTCCAGACGATACAGATTCCACGGCAAACTACACCACCCCCGAGGGATCTCACGGAGTGGGAAGAAGCCTGGCACATGTACCACTACCTAGGAAGTGTAATGCAAGCAGGGAAGACCCCCAGAGGCTACAGACGGAACGGGGAAAAGGAAGAGATGGAAGAGCAGGAGGAATGGGAGGGGAGGGATGGGGAGGATGGGACTGGGAAAGGGGACTGGGGGGACTTGGGTTTGGATGGAGGAAGAAGACCAAAGGGTCTAATTCCTTAGACCGAGAGCCTCTTCTCCGCTAAAAGGAGCCCCCGCGAAGAAGAGTTTAATTTAAAAACGCCCCTGAAAACGTGATTTTTTTTTTATTTTCATCAGTTCATTTTTCTTTATTTATATTCTGTTTCAAAATCTCTACATTTCTATAAGAAAAATTATTTGATGCCGATTTTTTAAGAGTCTGATTTGATAGAACTGTAAAAAAAATGGCAAATTGGCAGTCACAAAGCCCAAAGTGAATGTAAAAAAAACTTTCAATTAAGATACACCAGTGTTTAGAGTTTGAAGCCGATCAAAAGACAAATTTTCTAGTTATTATCTGGGTAATAATTTACCTAAAATTGGTATGTGAAAAAATACACAGTTCAGAGTGAGTGACAGTGTTTCTTTTAATAAAAACCTATCAATGTTAAAACTTTGAAGCCGATCAGAAAAGGCATTTCATATTAACTGATCTGATTTCAACGATTCCAAGTATTTTGCAACAATTTTTGTAAAATTTCAAATTTGCACTTACTGCAGATTGCATCATCAATATTTTGAAGCCGATTAAAAGAAGTATTCTTTAGTTACTGAATAAAAAGAATGTTACACAAATAACTCGCACATAAAAGAGAGAAGCTTACGACGGCGTTTCGGTCCGACTTGGACCATTTACAAAGTCACACTAACCAGAAGTGAGGCAGGACGGCTATATATAGGCAGGAAGAGGTAGTGGTAGTAGTAGTAGTAGTAGTAGTAGTAGTACAAGAATGGTATATAATACCGACAAGGTGAAATTAAGACACATGCGCAACACCCGGGCATCCCTATCGTAGACGTTTCGCCATCCAGCCAGCCAATGGATGGCGAAACGTCCACAACAAAGACAACCAGACGCCGCACATGTGTCTTAATTTCATCAGTAGAAGTAGTAGTAGTAGTAGTAGTAGTAGTAGTAGTAGTAGTAGAAGAGGTAGTAGAAGTGGTAGTGGTAGAAGTGGGGAATAAGGAGGACAAGCCAGTCAAACCGCTTAGATACAGGTTTTTCCTTTTCCGTTTACCGAAAACCTATGCACAGTGGCATGTACACTCACTACTTTTCCTATCATGCTTCCCCTGTCAAGAAAAGTGTTCTTATCTCCCTTTCTCCGTGCCCTCCGCATCTGTGATCCTCAGTTCCTTCCAGCAGAAATTTCCACTCTTCATAATTCGTTTTCCCGTCTTGGCTACCCTTCCCATTTCATAGACTCTGCCCTCTCACGTGCTAAACGCAATTTCTTCTCTCCCAAACTCTCTACTCCTGGGAACTCTTCTATCCTCTGCCTTCCCTACATTTCCGGTCTTTCTAATCTCAACAATTCTCTCAGTCCCTTAGACATCAAGCTTACCTTCCGCCAGACTAACACTCTTCGCACTAATCTCGTTCATACCTCTCTTCCCTCTACAGATGTTCCTGGTGTCTACTCTATTTCTTGCTCCTCCTGTTCTCTTCAATACTTCGGAGAAACTGGTCGATCTCTTTCTGACAGACTTAGGGAGCACAAAAATAGTGTTAGGATTGTCGACACTAACAATGCTCTTTTCTGTCACGTCAGAGATCATAGCCATCCTATTGACTGGTCTTCTGCTAAAACTGTCTTCCCTACTTCCAACTCGAACAGTCGCCGTCTAGTTGAATTCTCTCTAATACACAACTTTCCTTGTATGAACCTTAGCCCTGGCTTCGTCTCTGTAGATGCCTTCCTCTCCCACTACATTGTAAAATGCTCCAAACTTCAGAACACCCGTGACTTAACCTGACTCCTCATTTTTTCTTTTTCTTTTTCTTCTTCTCCCTCTTCCCCTTTCCTCTTTCCTTTTCTCCTCTGGGTTGTCTCTCTCTTCTGTCTCGTGTTTCTGTTCCTTCTTCATTTATTTCACCACTTCCCCTTTCATGCACCTCTGTGCGCTTGCTCTCCCTCTGTGGGCACCTAGCTCTCTTGCAGTGCTCCCCTTCCTTTGTATTTGACTGGCTCGTCCTCCTTATTCCCTACTTCTACCACTACCACTACTACTACCACCTCTTCTACTACTACTACTACTACTACTACTACTACTACTACTACTTCTACTGATGAGATTAAGACACATGTGCGGTGTCTGGTTGTCTTTGTTGTGGACGTTTCGCCATCCATTGGCTGGCTGGATGGCGAAACGTCTACGATAGGGATGCCCGGGTGTTGCGCATGTCTTAATTTCATCTTGTCGGTATTATATACCATTCTTGTACTACTACTACTACTACTACCATCACCTCTTCCTGCCTATATATAGCCGTCCTGCCCCACTTCTGGTTAGTGTGACTTTGTAAATGGTCCAAGTCGGACCGAAACGTCGTCGTAAGCTTCTCTCTTTTATGTGTGGGTTATTTGTGTATCGTTCCAGTCACAGTATTGTGCCTTTTTTTGTTATTAAAAAGAATGTTATTGTTTATTCAAAAAAATTGGCAAATTGGGACTTATGGCGCCCAATACCAGGGATTCCAAGTTTCTTTAACTAATTTACCACATCAACAAATCTCCGTGGACGCAAATTAGCATCAGCCATTAAATACTAAAGTTGTTCAGAAGTGATAAACTGAAATTTATATAAAGTTATTTAAAGGAAATAGAACTTTCATATTATTTTGCACATGAAATAGTCTATACCAACACCGCCGCTGACGGATTATGTGGCACCAGTTTTGAATGTCTGAAGCTACGTAGCTGACGGTTTTGGATGTTATCCCGGCCATTACAGGATGCTGGAGATGAGATGAACAACTCTGGTTATAGGGCACCTGCACATACCACTTGTTCCAAGAATATGGCCATAGTGACCGCGCAACAGCGTAGAAATTTTAAAGCTGATTGGATGAGGCCTTCTTGAGTTGTGAACCAAAATTAAACAAAAGTTGGAAGAAAAAAAGATAAAGAAAAATAAGGAAAACCTTATAATATTTATGGTGTTTTGCTGCTTTTTGTGTTTTTGTTATTGTTTATGCTTTGTTGTTGTTGTTATTTATGATGTTTTTGTTGTGACAACATCAAAGAGACAACTTAAAAAATATGCCAGTGTCCGGCGGCACTTACCGACCAGCTTGGAGAGATTCATGTCCCTCAGCACCCGCATCACAATGGTGGCCTCAGAATCCTTGGCATTGGCTCTTTTGGAGGCTCCCAGTGTCCTCAGTACTGACAGGATGTTGCGAAGGCCAAAGTCATAGTGGACCTGCATGAAGGGAAGAGAGGAAGGTCAAATTCCTGTCCCCTTGGGAAATGAGACAAGTGCTGCATAACACAGTCCTTTATTGACCACCTTTCTCCCACATAGTGGACTTTATCACTGTGTGGGACATACTTTATCACTGCTACAAACCCTGCCATGTGGGCGAAACGTTGTTAATAAAACATCACCTTATACTATATTTATGTCTCATTTTTCATCTTGTTTATATCTTGTATCCTTTTTTTCCGTCTGTCTGCTATCTCTAGATTAATAATAGACTAGTTTTTATTTTGGATGTTATATATGTACCAAGGAAAAAACTGAAAAAGACAGAAATAAACACACACCTGTTTAGTGAGTTGTTCTTCACAAAGTTTGTAGAGTGTGAAGAATTTTCGAGCCAGTGTAATGTTTTCCAGAAAGCCACATGAGGCGAGCTTTACTCTGATGATGATTTGACGATCTGGAACCATCATGGCCACATTCCGGAACTGGATCTTCAGGTTTTCTGGCAACACTTGGCGTCCATGGTATCCCAGGTTCTGTTATGATCATTTGCCAGCCGGTAATTGGGTTTCCACAGAATCACGACGGAATTGTCATGGTATCGGTGATACCATTTTAAAGGCCACACAATTGTTGAATTCATGGTTTCATTGCAGTAGTCATTATACCGTGGCAGAAACCATTACACCATTGCAGAAGCCGTCATACCATTATGGATAAGGTGAAGTTGCCAGATTCGAAGTGTCGTCAGTGGCAGAAGAGTTGAAGTGCCGCAGATTGATGGTGAGTTCAGGTGATGGTGTGGTGGATAGAGCAATTATGTACAGTGTAAGAATCAGATACAATAGGAAGGTAGGCCAGCATGCAATAGCCTCTATCACCACTTACAATAGCCTTTATGTACACGTACAGCAGCCTATATGTACACATACAATAGCCTCTATGTACACATTCATCCTCATACATAAATAGTACAAGACTATTTTTTCTGTAATAAAACTTTAACACTACTGGAAGAAATAATCTTTAAATAAATATTTATGAATACACATGCGTTAAATAATCGTAGCTATACAGTGGGTCTTATTCCATTAGTGTGTGTGTGTGTGTGTGTGTGTGTGTGTGTGTGTGTGTGTGTGTGTGTGTGTGTGTGTGTGTGTGTGTGTGTGTGTGTATGTATGTCTGTGTGTGTGTGTACTCAAGCAATTGTAGTTGCAGGGGTCGATTCATAGCTACTGGCCCCGCCTCTTCACTGGTTACTACTAGGTCATTCTCTCCCTGCTCCAGTTTTATCATACCTCTTCTTAAATCTATGTATACTACCTGCCTCCCCTACCTCACTTTCCAGACTATTCCACTTCTTGAGAACTCTATGGCTGAAGAAATACTTCCTAACATCCCTGTGAATCATCTGAGTTTTCAACTTCCAATTGTGACTCCTTTTTTGCTATGTCCCATCTCTGGAACATCCTGTCTCTCTGTCCGCCTTGTCGATTCCTCTCAGTATTTTGCACGTTATCACATCCTCCCTGTCCCTCCTGTCCTCCAGTGTCGTCAGGTCGAGTTCCTTTAACCTTTCCTCGTAGAACGTGCCCTTGAGTCACGTTGCAAACCTTCGCACAATCTCTAGTTTCCTGACGTGCTTGACCAGGTGTGGGTTCCAAACTGGAGCTGCATACTCCAATATGGGCCTGACGTACACGATGTACAGGGTCCAGAACGATTCCTTACTGAGATGCCGGAATGCTACGTAATCTTAGGTTCGCTAGTCGCTCAAATGCTTCAGCAGTTATTTGATTGATATGCGCCTCAGGAGATGTGCTCGGTATTATACACTCTCCAAGATCCTTTTCCTTGAGTGTGGTTTGTCGTCTTTGGCCCCCTAGACAGTACTCTGTCTACGGTTTTCTTAGCCCTTCCCCGATCTTCATGACTTTGCACTTGGTGGGGTTGAACTCCAGGAGCCAGTTGCTGGATCAGGCCTGCAGCCTGTCCAGATCCTTCTGCAGTCCTGACTTGTCCTCCTCCGACTGAATTCTCCTCATTGTCTTCACGTCGTTTGCAAACGCCGTCAAGTCGTTCACATATACCAGAAACAGCACCGGTCCTAGGACTGACCCCCATGAAACCCTTCTCGTCACATGCGCACACTCATCAAGTACCATGACTTGCTGATGACTTCCCGTCAGGTGTTCTCTGATCCATTGTAGTTCCTTCCTCATTATACCTTCCTGGTCCTCAAGCTTTTGCACTAATCTCTTGTGTGGAACTGTCTCAAAAACCTTCTTACAGTCCAAGAAAATGCAATCTACCCTCCCTTAACTCTCTTGTCTTACTTCTGTCACCTTGTCATCGAACTCTAGGAAGTTTGTGACATAGGATTTCTCGTCTCTGAATCCGAGCTGGTTGTCGTTCATAAGCTCATTCCTTTCTAGGTGGTTCACCATTCTTCTCCTGACAATCTTCTCCATGAGTTTGCATACATGTCTGTGACACTAGTCTGTAGTTTAATGCTGCGTGTCTGTCTCCTTTTTTAAAAAATGGGGCTACATTTGCTGTCTTTCATACCTGAAGATTGCTGTTAGTGGTACACAGAGCGCCTCTGATCACTTTCTTAGGGCCCACGGGGAGACGTTATATGGCCCTATTGCCTTTGAGATTTCTAGTTCGCTTAGCAGCCTCTTCACCTCCTCCTCGGTTGTATACATCGTGTCCAGCACTTGTTAGTGCATCCCACCTCCCTATCTTTCTGGAGTTCTTTCTGTCTCCACCATGAATACTTCTTTGAATCCCATGTTAAACTCCTAACATACTTCAAGGTCGTTTCCTGTAAACTCCCCTCCTTCCTTCCTTCCTTCCTTCCTCAGCCTGATTACCTGGTCTTTGATTAATGCTTTCTTCCTGATGTGACTGTACAACAGCTTCAGGTAAGACTTGGCATTCGCTGCTGTGTCATTTTCGTATTGTCGTTGGGCCTCCCTCCTTTCCTGTGCATATTCATTTCTTGCTCTTCAACTACTCTCCTTGTTCTCCTGGGTTCTTTGCCTTCTATACTTATTTCATTTTCTAGCACATTTGGTTTTTAGCCTTTTTGCACCTTAGAGTGAACCAAGGGCTCCTCTTAGCCTTCTCATTACGTCTGTTGCCTTTGGGTACACACCTTTCCTCCGCTTCATTGCATTTGTTGTCACATATTCCATCATCTCATTTACTGTGTTCCCTGCCAGCTCTCTGTCCCACAGGACCTCGTGCAGGAAGTTCCTCATGCCTGTATAGTCCCCACTCATGTAGTTTGGCCTCATTCTTCCTGCCCTTCCTACCTCCCCCTCCACTTGTAACTCTACTATATATTCGAAGGTTAGAACCACATAATCACTAGCTCCGAGGGGCCTTTCATATGTGATATGTATGTGTATGTATGTATGTGTGTGTGTGTGTGTGTGTGTGTGTGTGTGTGTGTGTGTGTGTGTGTGTGTGTGTGTGTGTGTGTGTGTGTGTGTGTGTGTGTATACAAGTTTTAATATGCTGGTGTTTAACAGGATACAACTGGGACCACTCTTTATAAACTCTGACGAATTCTATTAGTAAATTAAAGACACAGAGATAGAGCGAGACTCCATTAAAAGGTTTTCCTCAATGGGAACTTTATCAAAATGAAACATTTGATAAATACTTTCACTGTCTGCATGTCTATGCTCTCCTACGTGTCTGCTTACTGCCGACGCTTCGTACAAATTAATGATATTAGTACAATGGTCCTTAATGAACCGTCAGAAGAGCGATATTTAAAGGGTTTATATGTGGCTAAGGATAATATTTTACTACTTCTGAGATATTAAACTATTTTTATCAGGATATTACTAATGACACAGTATAACTGTGACATCCCAGCCACCACCAGTAGTGACATCGCAGCCACCACCAGTAGTGACATCTCTGTAACTAGTAATCACGTGATCATATATTGCTGCCAAAATTACTGACAACGTAGGTGTCACCAGTAGTGACTATTATGCATCCCCCTGACCAGCAGAGTCAATGCTGAAGCGACGAATATTGTCATCTCTGTGACCAGCAGTGCCACGACAAAGTGACAACGTAGCTTTGACAGTGACAATGTCACTACAACCAGCAGTGATCAGTATCCTTACAACATCTACAGAGCAACGGAAGTTAAGAGTACGCAGTGAAGTTATTATTATTATTATTATTATTATTATTGTCATATGGATGTATAATAAACTAGTAGTTCATCGCACTAACAGCCTGCTTGACGCTTCCAAAGCATATTACTGGCACCAACACAGCCTTTTCAAAGTGTTATAGTTAAGTTAGGTGTCTTGTTCCCAAGTGGCAGATATTTGTGTGTAGATATGTTCAATATTTTCTTTCGTCTATTTTGTTCGATAACAAACCTTCCCTCATCAGAACGGCATGTGAGGTGTACGTTCTTATGAGACATATAAAATGATGTTTATAAGCGGTTGAAACGTAACGTTAGTAAACAACTGCTAAAGCATAACTCATAACCTTGACCCTGACCTTAAGCATATATATAAGGTTCAGGGTGACTGTTCAAGACTTTTTTATGGGGGAAAATAGCTCTCCTAATATGCCGCAATATATGGTATCTGCTGCCAGAGTGAAAACAATAAAGGTTTCGGTTTCATTTGCAGTGCTGTGAGAGTGGGGTCGAGTGCGCCTCTTCATTTTAACGTAACATTTCAATACGAGTTGCTCTTTTAACTATGAAGTAACATATCCCAACTTTTAATGCTGCTTATAAAGTACTAAAATAAGTATTATCAATATATGTTTACATAGTGAGAGATAGGGAAAAACATATCTACAGTGCACAGTGATAGTGATGTAAGTTTATTCATTGATAGGCAGAAGACAACGTATTTATACTAACCTATGGAGGACCTATTTGTATTTCTAGTGACAGATGTTTGTATATCTAATGATAGAGAGAAAAATATATAGTATACAAATTAAGAGAGAGAATTGTATAGTATGCACCGTAATGGAGGGGAGATAACATATGTACAACATACATAATGATAGAGGAACTGTGAACATACTCAACAACAGAGAGGAAATAGAACACTATTATGTATAGTATACACAGTAATAGAGCGAAGACGTGTATAATATACACATTAATATAGGTGTATATAGTATACAGTGATTGAGCAGAGATGTGTATAGTATACAAAGTGATATAGACAATATATATACAATGTCTGTGTCCCAGACATAGTGGCGATACAAAGGCATGTGTTTACCTGGAACAGAGTATGCGCGATTTTCTGTTAAGTAAAAAATGCGTATATCATCAGCTATGGAAATTTAAAATGATTATTTATATATTTGTATTTGAAAGTAAATTTTGATGGTATTTTGTAAACTATTTCATATAACCAAATTTAAATAATTCTTAATTACCTGAGTAAAATAGTTGTTGAGAAATCTTGGAAATTATAACAATAAACATAATATTGCATTGACAGTAAGATGGTTCACTAAAAGATAT